AAAAAAAAGTAATGATGCTGCTGCTCTGTTTCTGCCTGSCCATCTYTCTTCTGCTGCCCCCTGGCACTCCYRATGGCRGTTTCTCACTGTAGCCCTTTGGGGTCCCTCGAGTTTTGGCACCTGCTCGGGACTGGTCGTTGTACTGTAACAAACCGATGTGTTTAACCTCAGTGGCCTGCCACCTTCCACATGGCAGTGCAGAGGGGGCCTTCTAGCTGTTAATGCCTTTCCAGTTACTTTATCAAAAGAAAAAAAACAAAAAACAAAAAAACGGAAAACTGTAAATGTAGCAAGCTGTGTTTGCAATGCTTATTGTCTCCTGTCTCCTCTGAGGCTGGTTATGTCACTTGTCACTGTTTGAAATGGAYGCTGGGCTCTTCTTGAGAGGGTTGCTACACTTGATGTTAAATGCCTCACTGACTTTTTGTAAAGTTTCCAATACAGGTAACAGATGATAAAAAAATTTCCTTTATTGTTTCTTTCTAAGCAAATGTTCATCTCGGTGGCACGGAGCAGGTGGCTGGAGGGCAGCATTTCCAGGWGTAGTTTACAGTTTCACTTTCTGCAGACACTTGAACATAGGACCGRTGTATCTGTGACAAGCACATCCCCTTGGTGGGAAGCTCCAGAGAAGCAGGGAATGCCCTGGGTGCCAGCTGGCCCCTGTGGAGCGTGTTGGGGTCCCTCCAGCTCCCCACACTGTCCCCCTGCTCTCTCCCCAGCCCTGCACCGGGGTGGCTTTGCCTGTGGTGCCCCTCGTGGGAGGGCGTGCTTGGCACCACTGGTCCCTCAAGCCTCCCTGGTGCAGCCCTGCTCTGTCTTCCCCCCACAGCCTGTCCTGGTTCCATTGGGGTTGGAAACATTTGAATCTGTGGCTCAGAGTCACCCGCTGAGCTGCAGCCCAGCGAGTGCAGCTTTCTGCTCGCTCGCCTGGAGCTAAAAGGGTGGTGGTTCGATGTGCTGGCCCTTCTCAAACCGTGTGTGTCCAACCTCAGCCTTCTGTTTCCCAAAACTAGAGAGTGTGTGCAACCTTCTTCAGCTGCATTTATAGTAGAGACAAACTTAAAATGACTCATCACAGACCATGTATCACTTGGGAGGAAAATCTTGTTAATAYGGCCCGCTGTACATGATCCATCTCTGTTGATAGTACATAATCTTTGACCCATGTGCTAGGATCATCATCACGTATAAAAGGAAAAGAGAAAAATGTAAAATACTTGAATGAGAGCTTGTATTATAACATTAATATTATTCAGAGTATCTGCTTTCTAGGCTGATGTGATTCATTATTCTAGTAATGCTTTAGTCCTTTGTAATTTGTGGTAATTATGCTTTTTCCTTTTTAATACAAAAAAAAATGTATAAAAATAAAAACTTCAAAAGACAATGCTGCCTGGCTTTTCTGTTCTGACTTGCCCTCCCCAGGGAGCTGCGGGTGGGTTCATTCTGGTGCAGCTGTAGGAGCTGCAGAAGCAGAGGAAGTGACTTTGGTTCCACAGGTAGAGCTGGGCTGACCACCGGTCAGTGCAGCACAGGTCAGCCCTGTGTCCCTGTTCCTTAAGGGGCTCTAGCACTGGGGAAAGATGTGGAATGTTTGTTCCAAGCAGGATTGAGACTTAAGAAGATCCTTGAGAAAATTCAYAGTATGTCTGGATGGTCTGTAGGTACTAGGGGATGTGTGTATTGCTCTGGGGGCTGCTTTCTTGGGTTCTTCCTTAAAGGGTTTCCCTAATCTGCCCACAGCTCAGGACAGCAGGGACTTTGCTTTCCTTGGAAAATCTCTTTGCTCGATTTATCAGTTTTGGTTGTGTCTCAGAGCAAGGGGACACTCAGCAGGAGGAGATGATGCCACAGAGGCCAAATCATCAYCTGTGGAAACTGGTGCTAAAACCTCAATAATGAGAACCCAGAGCCATTTGGCCCAGAACACACCTGGCTCATACACAGGCGGCTGGAACCAAGGAACAGTGCAAGTAACTGAGAAACAAACCATTATATTTAGTTTAAAAATAGATTTCTAGAGCAGGTTTTTTTTTCTTAGATAGAAAATAATGGCAGCCGAAGTGCAGTCATTTCAAGCAGCATATTTAACTTCAGCTTCATGTTTTGTTATGTGCGGACAATAACTTGTTTCTTAATTAAAATACTATTTGGCATAAATCATTGTCTCTCACTCTGCTCATTACCCAGCTGGGCAAGAGCTGCTGGGCTGGCTCACTCAGCTTTCTTGGGGGGCTCAGGGATGCTTTCGGAGAGCGGCGTGAGGCCGAGCAGGACCTTGTGTCTCTCAAAGGCTTTGGTTTGTCTGAACATTCTGTCCGTGCCATGCAGATAATCCAGCACTCCCAGCACTCCGTAGCACTGGTTGAACCTGGGAACCAGAGATAAACATCACTGCAAGTTACTGAGGTTACCTCGCCCTTCCTCTCCATCCCTTTCTGAGCCCTGATACTCTGTTCATGGCATTTCTGCCCCTCACCAGTCTCCTTGGCAGCTCTGTCAAAGTGTGGGTGAACCTTGAGCAGTTTGTCTGGTGCCATCATCACCCAGACACTGTGATCCTGAGCAGCAGCTGTTTCTCTGGGCAGCTCAGAACTGTGGGAGTGCTGGACACCCGTGTTACCATGCCCATGTGCTCTCAAGACCTGGCTGTCCTGGGATATGGAGCAGATGTGCTTCCAGCTGGCACAGCTGTTCCACCCAGAGTGCCCCATGCCCTGACATGTGTGAGTGAACTGTCCCCTGGGCAGGTTCTGCAGTGGGGGCAGACTTTTCTGGGGAGGATGTCTGAATGAAATGCCCATTGGGAGATGGGAATGTTTCTCCATTGCTCAGGTATGTATCCTTGATCAACCTGCTGCGACTGCTCTTTCTGCAGCGCACAAGGCTGTGAATCTCTGCCAGGAAGGGTTAATGGTGATTGTCTGGGCAAAGTGTAATCTGATCAGTGTTACTAATCCCAGTGTATGGGAGAGGAACAGACAGGCAGGCTCCCTGCAKGCTTGTTTCACCTGTGTGACTTGCCCTTGCTCTGTCTTTAGATCACAGAGTGTCTTCTAAACTCCTAGGAGGAGCCTTGCAGAGAACTGTCCTTAGCAGGGCTGGAATCCCTCGAAATCCTGATCTCTAACTGCTGTAAGAACTGGCAGCACTCAGCCTGCTCTCAGGTGAACTGGAGAGCTGCTCTGCTTGTGCACGAGTTGGGCAAACCCACTTGATCCTCAGAAAGGAGTTTTTCCTGTCAGTGGTGCCAGGGCACAGGCAGGAGAGGAGGGAGAATGGGAAGCTGAGCAGTGCTAAGACGTACTTGAGGTGGTGGAAGTCATGGAATTCTGGAGATGGCAGGAAGGGCAGRTGGTAGCCACAGTGAGAAATGCTGGTCGTTAAAAGAGCGAGGGAGAACCACGCTGAGATTGAAACAATGTGAGATCCCATGATCATGGGCCCAGTCATGACAGGCAGAGTGTTGGACACCTGGAAATGAGAAGAAATTACCTCAATAATGGGTCCACAACAAGCAGCGTCTCCTCTAGGAACTGAATTGTATCAGCTGGTGATCCATCACACTAGATTTGTGCAGTGTAAAGGAAAGACCCCTCTCAAATGCCTTACTGAAGTTACATAATCGTCCAAAAAGMAGTAATAGTGCTAAAAGTTCTACTGACTGCAAACCATTTTCATAGCCCAAGCTTCCCAAGCCTGGAGTAGAAGTTAGACATGACACCAAACCATAGGTGAGGACAGCATGATTCCAGTAARTTACCCTGGAGTCAGAGATCTGAATTTCAGCTTCACCTTGGAATAGTGCTAAAGCTGCTCTTGGGAAACCTCACTGTGAAAAGGCA